GTTTGTCAAATAACATACATTGAAAGCCTTATATTTAAGATGGGCCAGTTAAATGGCCCTTTTCTATGTAGACTCAACCAACTTTCTCATAAAATTCTAGGAGTTGGGCCGCTTTCTAACAGCTAACAGCTATCCGCTAACTACCAAACAAGGCCAATATAAAACAACTGAAAATCAAACAACATTTTTTTAGCGGATCAACAAGTCAAAGTAACCAACTTATCAAACAGCCAAAAAAAGCTTGAAAAGCCAATAAACAAACGAGGCCATTGTAATTTGTATCAATAAAATCAGAGACTACCATAATTGCAGCTGAACTAACTTCTTGATATTTATAAAAGCAATATATATACATCAATTCCATCTTGTACCAATCAATTTCAAATTGAGACACGGTTGCGGCCTGCACAGGCNGGAAAAAAAAAAAAAAAAACATGTATCAATGATAATCTTCAGCATTTAAAAATTTTCTGGTCCTTTTTTCCATTTCCAACTTCAAATCTACCCTAACAGTGCTGAAATTAATGGGTTAGATAGAATAGACACTAACATGCACAATTGGTGATTATTTTCTATCAAATTACTACCAGTCCAATAGTAGGCTAATCTATATTGTCACTTCTACATAACATTCATAATATATATTTTGTTCAATTGTCAAAAGATAAGGACTTTTTTATCAATTTGCAGATTTGAACAAGCTTTTTTAAAAAGCCACCAAATTTCTCTAGCACTAATTGGGTCATGTTACCATTGCCAAGTTAAATCTGTGTATGGTGATGGTGACCATATAGTTTGGTGCATTGCTTAAGAGGGAATGTAGAAAATGTTGTTCAGCAAAGCCTATCCTTTGCTCTGCCCCTACAATGGTGAAAACTGAGCGTGGTCCTTTTTGTTCCCAAATCCCATATAAGTGCATATGGATTATGGACCACTATCATCTATCTATTAATTAATATATAAAAAGGTAAAAAAAATTATCTAAAATAGCAATTTAATTCCCACCTTTTTTTTACTAAAATTGGAAACATTTTTTGAAAATTTATGAAAAATCACGCCTTTGATCGATGTATTTAGGTTTAAAATTCAATTATTTAAATCAATCACACGTAATGAAAATATCTTTCTATTTTGTTTGTTAACTAGTGCGTAATCCGTGCAATACACAGGTAAACAATTTGAAATAATAATTATAAATTTAAAATCTTGGTAAACAATATTAAATATATAAATTATAAATGTTCAGTTGACATGTGATATAACTTACAACAAATTATCTTCTATAATAAAACATGAAACGTGTATGTTAAAATATTAAAAATACTTAAAATATTATATAACTTGTGTAAGATTATCTAAACTGTTCTTTATTATTTTTGAAAAATGTGAAGTCACCTAAATTTTTTTAAAACTATTTTGTAAGTAAAACATGTATAAAAACAATTAAATTTAACACACACACACACACACACATATATATAGGGATTGGATCGAATGATGACACATTCTGGTGGAGGCCTTAACGGGCCTTAATTTTCCATCGGAGTGTGCACATGATTTAGCGGCTTCGGCCGAGCGACTTTAAGCCGAGTTCAGTTCAGTTCAGTTCTTATATGCTTAAGTCATGATATTGTTATTATTGATGTTGTTTTATTCAGTATTGATTTCTGCGGAGCATAGTGGTTTTGCTCACGCCCCCAGTAACTTTCTTTTTAGGTAACGGAGTACAGCGTGGAGCGTGAGCACTGACGGTGGACGTGGTCATACTATTTTTGTTACGCATGTCATGTCATTCATTTGAACATGTATTATTTATTATGCGAGTACTTATTATATTTCCGTTTCCGCATATTTAGACCTAATATGTATTATAAAACTTCAGACAATATGCATGTGTAATGCTTTTATCTCCATGGTACCTTTATTAAATGGATTTGATTAGGTTGCATGTATTAATTATGTCTGCATGAGAAAAGATAAGAAAAGCAGTAAAGTAGAGTTTGAGTACCACCCGGCGAGTCAGCTAAGCATTTTCGAAAATAAAAGATAGTGTTTTTCAAAAATAAAAAGAAAAAAATTAACTCTAATTTTTAAAATAGTAGAATTAGAAGGATGGGTGTTACACCACTTGTCTAGATACAATGTATGTGAAAGTCACACGGGTTGGATCCAAACCCAATTTCAAAATCCAACTCTTGGAAAAGAACTTCAGCAAAAGATTATAGTAGTTGAGCTCAAGATCCAAGCCCAACATCAGTCCAGACTGTCTAGGGCGCCCAAGTCCAACACACAATACAATTGGCAAGGCCCATGCCTGAGCCAAGTTCAGTCGGGTGGTCGGCGGGTGCGTGTGGCTATAGCGAGGACTTATATTTTGTGCATTTATAACTTTATTTATTGTTGTGACCTTTTATATTGAAGAGAGTTATTCTCATTTAAGAGTTTAATGTGGGATAGGACCCTTGAACTTATAAATTCCACAATTAACGTACAACATGCCAATTAAATGACTAACTTAATAATTTGCTAATTACTCACTAAAATTCAGTTTGGAGAACACAAATTCGCAACGTAGAATTAATTTAATAATGATTCAACTCGAAATAAATATCTAGCGACAAAAATGTTAGTTAAACCGAATCAAATTCAATATTTATAACCGATTTTCTACCATTTTAGTTCATAATTATTAATAACTAGTACAACACCCGTGTAATACATGGGTGCTTGTTAAAAAATTATTTTTAAATTTTAAAATTAATGAGAAAAATTATTTAAAATTTATTTACTTTTTTTTAAAAAATATATATTATTATATATTTTAAAATGACACTTGTTACTTGTGCGACTTACATGTGTTATATTATAATAATTTTTATAACTTATATCATATAACTACTTGAAATATAAATATATTAATTGATAAATAATTTTATTTTTCTAATTAATATTGAAAAATAATTTTATTATTGTTATAAAGATAAATGTAATTTATTTTTTTAATACATACATTATGGATAAATCGAAGCTCATCAAGAGATGATTAATTTGATATATCATATATGTAAAACTGATAAAAAATACAAAAGTTATTAACTTTTAAAATACATTTACAATTCAATGTTTATAATAAGAAATGATATTAAAATGCAATTTACATGTAATATGACCATAAATAATCAACTATTTATGGATAATTTGGACCTAATTATTTTTGGATTGAAAGTAAATTAAAATCCACCAAAACCTAATAACGAAGCATGTAATTTTGCCACATAGGATCCCTAAGCATGCGAGTCTGCCACTTAGGTGCAGCACGTTCTGAATTAATATATAGGGGAAGGGGGATTGGGAAACCACATATTACATATGTTGAACTCAGGAAAAACTTCGGTCTAAGTTTACTTTGTCATTTGTTAATATTGGTGACTTAGAAGTGTGTAATGTATATACAGAAATGCTATGGAGCCAATGGTTGGCTCCATAGCATTTCTCAATGTATATATACCGCATATTTTAGCATCTTCAATCAATGGAGACTGTATTAGCGCATGCATTAGACAGGGATTTTGCTTCAAATTTGTAAGTAAAAGATCTTTGAAAATGTAGAATTAGAAAAGGCTGATGAATACTCCCGTTTTTCACTTTCTTTGAAAATCGAAATCTCAACCTACTTTTTCTTTTCTTCAAATGTTGGCAGGAGAAAATTGCAAATGAACTTGGGTCATTCTACGACTTTCGCTTACGAAAATATTTTGTGCCTTTCATTTTTTTTATCAACATAAAACAAGAATGAAAAAATAAATGAAATATAGGCAATAATTTCATTCCAAAATCACACGTAGCATTCTTTTAAGAACCTAGATCGAGGAACAGAGAGCACAAGGCCGGCAATTTCAGGACTCAAGTCCACCGGAAAAAAAGTTACGTAAATTTTTTTTTTAGAATATTATGTTATTAGACCAAAATAATTTAGTAAAATAAATATTAATAGGCAGAGGGATGATGATGATAATAATAGTAATAATATTAATAATAGAAATAAAATAAAATAAAAAAAAAAAACTCTTTACGGGCTAGTGGTATTTGCTTGTCGGGTTGGAGCATAAAACGTAGATAAGATGAGCACGAGTTAGTTATCAAAGAAAATACAATAGCCAAAGATAACACAATGATTATGTTAGCTTATGTTGAGATTTTTAGGACGAAAATGGAATATTTTCTACCAATTTTCAATCAATAATTTTTCAGTGGCAATTCTTTTCGACCGTGAATAATATTTTGAACTTTACGCAATTGTCTATCTTAACGATAGTCAAATAAATTGCATTAAAATGTCTTTTTCTTCTACTTTTTATCTTCTATCTCTCGAATAATGCTTTGAACTTGACACAACGGCCTATATATCATGTCATTTAAATAAACTACATTGAAATAGCTCTTTCATTTTGTCTTTTATCCTAGACGTTGAGTGATTGTGTTGATTTTCTCAATACTTTCATCCATCTATAAATCAATCTATCTTCTACATAAATGATTTTCTTGTACAAAACTTTTTTTTTCTGATTTTATTTACATTGACTTCGTCAATTATCCAAGTATTTGGTG